CTCCTGGCGAGGGGAACTCGGCCCTCGCACGGGTACGACCTGAGCCCCGCAGGTGGAATCACCCGCGTATATCGTGGCTGAGCCGGGACGTCCCAGAGGGGGAGCCTCTATTCGCCCTCGAGGATGCGGTCGGGGGGCGCTGAGCTCCTTCGAGCAATATCATTGGCCGGCAAGCAGGTCACGATCGTGTGAACGGCAGATTTATCCCACCATGGACGACGATCTGCCCAGCGTCGCCCAGGTACGCGTCCTCTTTTCTCGTGTGGTGTCGTCTTGTTCTGAGTTTTTTCGCAATGTATGACCTCTGTTCTACCTATCTAGGAGATCGAGGCCCGGTCTCTCGGGAAATTGTTATTCCTCCATCAAGAGAGAGAGGTATGGGACCAACTTGGGTAGCAGAGGGACCTGCTCGCAAATGCCAACAAGCTCACCGCTTAAGATGGAGCGCCGGCGGAGGACCTCCGCCGTTGTTGTAAATATATCTTGAGGCGGCGTGCCACGGCCGAGAGCGTGTCGCTCCTTAGCGGCGACATCTCTGCCAAGTCTGTTCTTCTTGTGATTTGGTGAGACAAAGGGCGCCCTGGACGAGGCCCTCATGGCGGCCAAGGCTTCCCGGGTCAATGCCTTGGCTTGGAAGGAGAAGTTCGAGGGTAAGTTCTGCCCCCTTTATTTTGTTTATTTTTCTTGCGCTCGGCCCCCTAACTCTCTCGGTGTGGTGCAGAGCTGGAGAAGGAGGCCTCCAAGGCGACGAGGGCATCACGGGTTGAGGTCCAAAGATCGGAAAGAGAAATCCGAGGGTAAGTCCCATAGGCCTTTGCCCTGCTTGACTTATTCCTCTTCGTGTTTAACCTCATCCCGCTTGTTTTGGCGCAGGTTGGAGAAGGAGGTTTCCCGAGTGGCGAGGCCTCTGTCGCAGCAGGCGGCGACGCCGAGGCCGAGATCGAGGAGCACGACGATGCGCAGCCGCCGCCTGCACTGCGTCTGCGAGGCTCTAATCGCTGAGGGGCTCGGTCGGGTAGCTCCTCGGGAGCCGCTTTGGTCGCGGAGCAACTTCGACAAGCGTTGCATCTGGCGTCAAGCGTGCCACGCCGCCGTCTCTTTCGCACTCTGCCGCCAACCTCGAGGTCATCAACGATGGTTACATCTTGCCCGATGATGACGAGGAGGTCGATGAGCAGTCACCAAGCCGATGGAGGCGGTGAGGTCCCCAGTGCGGCGCTTCTAGCCATCTGCTTTGAAGAAGAAGTGGTTCCCCCTAGCGCCGCGACGCAGGAGATCCTGAGCCTTGACCTGGGCCAAAGGGGCCATGTAAACGAACTAAGTTATTATCGTGTCACGATATTTGTGGCCGTCGAGGCCTTTTAAAGTATTCGTGCGTATGCTTTTTTAATTGGTTTATATCGTTTTTCCAAGCCTCTGCCTTCTGCATTGCTTCTAGACAAGGTTTGTGCAAACGATTTCCTCAAAACCTGAGCTGCCCTCCGGCGAAAGGTGGCGAGGGAGTTGCCGTAGCCCAGAGGCGTAAGCAGTCTCATGACTCGGCCGACCTCTTGCCCTCGAGGCGCGCTTTTGGTCCTTAGATTTTTACACACGGCATGTCAGAGTACGCAAGAGAGTTTGGCGTGGAAATTTATTTAAAAAATGATTAAAAAATAGTGCCTGGGACTTAGGGGGATCCCCCCGATTCTAGCCCCCGAGGGGGGCTCGGCTCTGTAGAGGCAGAGCCGAGTCTCCCTTATAACGTTATATCTACGTCGGTTCCCCGTCGAGGGGGGAGTTTTCTCGAAAAATTAGAATAACTAAAGAACGCTTCTTTAATATATTTCGAGAAACAATATATACAATGCTTGGAGGTTTAAGGGTAGAAACGACGTAGCTGTTCTATGTTCCAAGCGTTGGTGAAGATTGATCGTCGAAGAGCTCGCTGACGACGAGGTCTCCGGCAACACTGTCACCCCAACGGCTTCGTCTCGTCATCCCGCATCCAGCGGTGTAGGTGGTTGTACCTATTATGACCTCTAGCTAGGGCGGCGGCACTCATGGCGGCTCGGCGGAGCTGCATAGTGGTGCATCAACCATCTCCGGCCATGGCAAGCTCAGACGAGCTTGGCTATGGCTTTAGGGTTACCTAGCAGAGATCTAGGGTTAGGGTTTAGGCTCACGGAGACATCGGTGAGGCACGGTAGTGCGACGGCGTGGGCACGACAGCGGCGTCGCGGTGTTTCGGTGGGCCGGGTGACGACATTGCTCAACCAAGCCCCGTTCTAATTTCCCCATCCTATGGCTAAGCTCTAACGCCTAGAAGCAAGAGAGGAAGAGGGTTAGGCGAGCGTGGCCACGACGAGCTCAAGCTCGGCGGCGGCAATGATGGCTGCGGTGACGGCGCACCGGCTCTAATGTGCTCACCTGGGCTCAAACGGCTACGCTAGGAGGTCGAGAAGGTGGCGGGTGATACGGTGGTGCAGTGAGCGCGGTGAATCAGCGATTATGGCTGCGGTGGTCGGCTCGACTACGGCGGCGCTGCTACGGTTGCTCTGCGCCGGGAGCTGAGAGAGAGGGAGAGCGAGAGTGAGCGCGAGAGAGAGGGCGCTCGATGTTCCCCCCTTAGCATGACAGCGCGGGCCTGACGCTAGCGTACGGTCGCCACACGGCACGCGTGGCCTGACGCGGTCAGCCACTGCCACGGCCGATTTGAATCGGCAAGGGCCGATTCAGGCCTGACGACACGACCTGAAACCCAAAATTTGAGCCCCCAGATCTCCCAAACCATGGTGAGTTTTGATCAACAATTTTCACCATTTGTTAGAGCTACAAGAGTACTACAAAATTGCTTAAAGAAGTTTTGTCTAATTCCCAATGGTTTTCAAAATAAAATGCTCCAAAGTCAGCTACATGCAAACTGAAACTCAGTTCGAGACAACCAAATTTTTTGTTTCAAAAACAACATTGAGTTGATTTTTGTTAGCCCTATTTGACTAAGCTAGGCACTGATACAGCTCTTGACCATTAAACAAAGTTTGTTCTACAGGAGCTAAACTACAACTTTTATTTAGGTTCCACTGCCATGCAAGTTCTCTAAGTATTTTTTCAAGATAGGTCAAACAATCAACATGATAAAAGCAATTCTAGTCATACCAACACTTAGAAGCAATTTTGGACCAAGTCATGAATACAAACATGGTTTCATTTTTCATCCTAAGTGTGTCTAGGTTGTTTTGGTGACCAAACAACAACCACTTGCATTAACAAGCATGATCATTAAGCATGCACTTAGTGAATTAAGCATTTTATGGAAAATTAGTCACAATAAAGATTATCATTTCATGCTCATGAGTGCAAATGAATGAATGATGTTTATGCTCATGCAATGCAAGTGCAAAAATGTAAGCTTAACACTTGGGGTGTTACAAACAACCCATCCATAAGTCTTAAATTAATAGGCACTAACATGTACATATACAACAACTCTCTCCGTCTAACAAAAAGTGTTGTTCTCACTTTTCGAGAATTTGAGCATCTTCAACTTTGACAAAAAAAAGAAAATATTAATATTTAGTGTGTATAATTAGTATCATTAGATAAATCGTTAAATATATTTCTATAATAAATTTATTTAAAGATACAAATATTGCCCATACTTTTTATAAACCTAGTTAAACTTAAGCAAATTTGATCGGCACGAACTTTATAGTGATACTCTTTTTCTAGGATTTAGGAAGCCCACTACAGTCATATACCATACTTTTCGTTGATTTTTTTTGGAGTATGAGGGGTAGAACTCTAGGTTGGAATGCATGAAATTTACCCTTTCGGAAAAAAAAGAACAAGATTCGGCTGTGGCCGCTGGAAATCCTAAGACACAAAACACTGTTGCTACAATACAAATATGCCGCCGATGCCTTAGGGCTTGGATCCCTTGCTTGACACTGTATAACCTTGTTAAGCGAGAATGTACAGTGAAGTTGCTTGATTCTTTAACTAGGTGTCTCGGGACCTGCGCGAGGGCTAGGATTTCCTTGCCAGCATGGGAGAGCCAAAATAGCTCTCTTTACTTGGCAAGGTTACACAGTGCCGAGGACGAGGCAAGACGCTTGGCTGGAGGAGCAAGCATGTGCATGTCCTACGACAGCCGAACAGGCATTCCCGTACCCCCCCAGTGAAAACCCCGAAAGCCCCTGGTCGACCCGTGAATTGGGGCATGTTTGGATGCAACCCAGGATCAATTTTGCCTGGACTGGTTGTTGCCTGTACTCTGCCTGGAAGTTGTTTGGTTGGTGTCCTGGACAGCAGCCTCCACCAGGCAAATCCTTCTCCTGCCAGGCAACCAAAATCAATCGCCTGGTGTTGCATGCATTTGTCTGGGCTTCAATTAATATGACTACTCTCTATTAATGAGCTAGGAGGGCCCACGGTCCTACTCTCCAGGCAACACGTTTGAACCAAACAAGCATCCTTCTAGCTGCCTGACCAGGCAAAACCAAAAGCATTCACAGGCAACATGCAGGCAGCGTCTTGTCCCAGGCAAATCATTCAGGGTTGCAACCAGACGTGCCCTTGGTCTGTGATTGTGAGGGCTTGGCAGGGCCGCACACGAGCCTGTGGCCCCGTTAACTACAAGACTCCGGCCCACGCGTCGTTTACCACCACGCCCGCCGTTTCCTGATTCCCGACGGCCGAAACCCTAGAAACCTCCTGCTAGAGAAAGAGAGGCGGAAAGGATGGACCGATTCTGGTGGAAAGAAGCGAACAAACGGCTCCAAGCTGCCCGCTTTGCGCCCAGCTTCTTCTCGCTGCGATTCTCCTCCGTCCGCTCGCGCCTCCCTCCTCCTCGCCGCCCCCCGCGCCTCCCTCCTCTTCTCGGCCTCCGTCCTCCGGCTCGCCGGCTCCGGCGCCTCCGTCAGCTCCTCGATCTGTCCTCCGGCTCGCTGGCCCCCGCGCCTCCCTCTCCCTCCTCTTGTGCTCGAGCGCCACCGGCCTTGCCCGCGGATCGCCTCGTGCCTATGGAGAAGCTGGATGAGAGCAAGTTCGAGCAGCGGCTAGAGCTCTGGGCGCTCCGCATTCCCCGTGAGCTCGCCTCCGCAGTCACCCGCCTCCTTCGCTCCGGGTAACGCTTCTCCCTTGTTCCAGGGTCCAATCCAATTAATCTAGTAGGTACAGGAAAAACGAACGGATAAATTAGCCATAGTATATCCGTTGTGTTTAACGATTAGTTGGGGACTCGTTTTTTCCCCTTCTCATCTGTGATTTCAGTTATCTGCTGGACAAGCCACGGGTTAAGTCTGTAGTTGAGGATCCCGAGGGCGACAAGAACCGGCTCGTCCTACTGTCTGAAAAGATTCAGAAGCCCGGTATGTTACTCTTGGGATGGACCATGTCAATTGCAAAGTTTTACTCTATGAACTGAGCAAACATTGCAGTGCCAAAGTCACCAAATCATGTTGGAATATCCTGACATGCCATTAGCCCATTACTTCATTAAGCTTTAAGGCTATTTTAAATGTTCCTGTGGCTTTGGAAATCTTGGCTCTCGTGTAACATAATCTTCTGTGTCCTGATTAGTCTCTTGGTATCAAAGGATAATGACTTACCCATGTTTTTTTTTATAAGGATGACTTACCCATGTTAATGTTGGTATTTTCTCTTGCCTCTAGCAGAAGAATGCTTATGTTTATGTCCATGGTATTTGGTGTGTAGATTTATCTGACATGCCACAGCAGGCCCTTGATTCATTGAAGCAACTATGCAATGTCGATGTTGTACCTTATACATTGACCCTTGATTATTCCTACTGGAGTGCAGGTCAGTTTAAGATCTTTTCTTTATAATCTGATTTCTTTTATGCTTTGGTATCGTGCTATTTTGTGGTACACATGTCACTTTCCATATTCTTTGTTCTTCTAATTTTTTTTTGCATAAAGTTAAAATTCTTGTGTACTAAAATAAAAAGGGTCGCAATTCACCCATTATTGCCTGTTCATTGTCACTGGCGTTCGTTTTTCCCTTTAGTTTTGCAAGCTTTGAGCTGACAAAACCAGTATAACCTTTTTTAATTTCTTAATATTATGGGTTTGATCAATTTCTTTATTTGTGACAGACCACATTTTGAAGCAAATCCTTCCTGCTGGAGTGGAGGTACCCTCTTCGTTTGAGACAATTGTTAAGTATACTAAACTTGATGATACTTTCTTCCATTTTGTTGTCATCTCTTTAAATATTTTGTTTGTATGGTGTCTGCAGGTCATGTTGCTCATCTGAACATATCTGATGACTTGCTAGCATATAAAAATGTCATAGCAAAGGTTATCTATGATGTAAGCACACTTCTATGCCCTTCTCTTAATAACTTGCTCACTTCATACATTCTTTGACTCTCTGATTCTCAACACCGTGCATGCAAAACCCATATAAATTTTGCATAAAAATGGCCCCAAAAGCGGTTCATAACCAAACTTGCAAGCTCTGTAGATCTTCTCGCGCAGATTTGGAAATGTTGTCAATTTATCTTACTCTTCAATGCTGGCTGGTTGGGACCTTGCAATGACATGAAAGCTGTATTAAATGAGTTAACACTGTGAGCAGTTAACAATGAAAACATTACATAATCTCTGAATCTCATGAACATACATGAAATTATTGCTGCCCATCTTTGTTGTTTTATTGCTTAGATGATAAGAATATCTGAAAACATCATAAAACATGCTGCTTGGTGCTTGCTTCATAATTCACTAAGCATTTTCGTCATATCTATACGCAGAAAAATTATCCAAGGATTCAGACCGTGGTGAATAAAGTGGGGACAATAACAAATGAATTTAGAGTCCCAGAGTTTGAGATCTTAGCAGGGAAAAATGATATGGTTACTGAAGTTAAACAATATGGTGCAACATTCAAACTTGATTATGGTTTGGTCTACTGGAATTCAAGACTCGAGCATGAGCATATCAGATTAGTTTCCCTGTTCAAGAAAGGAGACGTTATATGTGACATGTTTGCTGGTATAGGTCCATTTTCAATCCCGGCTGCTCAGAAAGGATGTGTTGTGTATGCAAATGACTTGAATCCAGATAGCGTTCATTATCTAAGAACTAATGCAAAGATTAACAAGGTTGATGACTATATATTCGCCTACAACATGGATGCTAGAGTGTTCATGCAAAATTTGATGACTGTGCCTGGTTTGGAAACTGGATCAGACTCTCAAGTTGCTGCTGATGAATCCTATCCTAAAGAAGGGGTCCCTGCTAATGAAAATTCATCTTCAAATGGAAATCATAATGGTGCCCTCTTTTTTACGAGATTCCTATTCTCCCCTGCATACTGTTTTTTTGTGGTCCTTCACACACTAACTTAACTGTTTCTTCAACTCTTTTCTAGATGTTCGTGAGGGCAGTCAAAATGGTGCTAATGAATCCTCTGTGGCAAGCACTACTGCCAAAAAGCGACCACAAACTTCAGAGGAAGGTAACTATGCTGTGTATTCTACAGTGTCTTTAGTAAGTAGTAAACTTGCAAGAAGTCTATTATATGCTTCAGGTTCGAAATTTTGCGTTTACCAAAAAAAGCTTAGGGAATGTTTAGTTGCCTGCATTAGCCTGTATTCAGGCTTGTGCAGTACAGTTTACCCGTGTTTGGCTAGTACGTGAGATTTGGTCGTAATATGCGATGCAGATTTGCACAAGCCGATGGGGCACTCAAAAATGAAATCTTCTCACTTCCCTCACATCTACTAGAACATGGAGATGACAACATGCAATACAATGTAATTACCCAAACACAATCTGACCTAAGGCAGCTTGCCTATGCAGGACAACCAAACACCAAGACATTGTATACGTTTATGCTGTCTTAGGTTGTGTTGCATAAGGTCTAATGCAAGCTAAGCCTAATGCAAGTAACCAATCACCACCTTATTTTCACGAAACTTCTGTACGAGTGTGCCAGATTTCTAAATAAACTAAAATTTCCTACTTGTCTCCCATAGGTGAACCTGATTGCCAAGATGGAGATGCTAATCAAACAAAAATACGAAACAACAAGAGAGTGAGAGGACCAGGGCCACCACCATCCAAGCCATGGGAACACTTTGATCATGTACTGATGAATCTACCTGCTTCTGCTCTGCATTTCCTCGGTAATGTTTTATCCTCCCCATTAGTTTTTTCTGTTATAATTTAATTATAGCATCACATCGTGACCGTTGGCTTTTTATAGCATATTATAGAAATTCTATTGGTTAGCAATACCCATTTATGACATTTCTGGACAGCTGGCCTGGCCCCTCTTTTCTGCTTATTGCTCATGATCTTTAATTGAATTTCCTGTCTTCTCCATATGTCATATAGACATCTCCTATGCTTTTGAATAAAAAACTTAAAGCTGAGACCTTGCAAATCAGTGTTAAATGACTAGTCTATAATCGAGTTAGTGCACTTGAGGCAAACTCTTCTCGGAGAACTACATTCTGTATTCCTTACTCGCATCAGCATCCATCAAACGCTTTGCCCATTAGCAACTAGAAGCTTTGGTTGGTACTCTGGTGTCAGGATTTTCTTTTCTTCTTTATTAAATAACTTAGAAGTTCTGCCTACATTTAGGGGGTGTTTGGTTCAGCTAGGAGCTCCTAAATCTAGTCCCATTTAGTCACTTTTTACCCAAACACTGTGACTAAATGGGACTAAAAGGGCTTTAGTCCTCTCTAGCAACTCTGGAGTGACTAAATGGGACTAAACCATTTAAGAGGGACTAAATTTAGCAGCTGCAATCCAAACAGGGCCTTAGTAAATATATGTAGTCATTGTTTGGAAAAATATTTTCTACATTCAGTTGTCATTATGTATAGCTACAGTTGCTCTGAGTTTCGGTTCATGATATATATGGACCTTTGTGCAGATTGTTTTGATGGTCTCGTCCAAAAGAAATACTGGACAGGATCACTACCTTGGATACACTGTTATTGTTTCATCCGTTCAAGTGAATCTGAAGAATCGATACTCTCTGTAAGTCCACTGCTATTTGATTATTACTTAGATGTTATTTAATTGATCGCATCATGACTGTCATTATATGCTGCCTGTATCTGTATGTACTATCAGCTGTGAGATAGTACTACTTCCATTTTAACATAAGCATTTTTCCTTTATGCAGGAAGCACAGAATAAATTAAATGCTAAGATAGCAGAACCGATATTCCATAGGGTTCGTGATGTTGCACCAAACAAGGTATGTTTCAGTGTACTTGTCAACAAGACTAGGTACACACTTTTCTGTTTTATTGAACGTAAGAGTTGACCTTGCCCCAAAATTTGGGCCTTGGACTAAATGTAAGGCTCAAAATCAGTACTGAAATTCCTCTTATTGAATGGTATTCACAAACAGTGGCAGTTATTTCCATGGTGAAGGCCTGAAGGGAGTAAAAGTAGATTTTAGAACATGATCTTTCTCTGGGGCTTGAAACTGGCATCAAAGTTTTCAAAAGTTTTTCTATGCTGTTGATTCCAGTTGTGCCCTGGTAACAGTAACCAGCAATGACTGATACTGATACATAATAAACTCTACCTGAAATGTTTAAACCAGCTAACTTTGCTAGTTTCCAGTGAAATCTGGGGCTGTTGGCAAACATTGGGGATTCTTATTCTGTGTAAGCGAGCCTACTGAAAAATACCTTTTCTCATCTGAGAACAGTAGAGAAATACATGGACATGACCAACGAGCTAATGCAAGTTGAGTTGTTTTTAGTTTCAGTATGATGGCATTGATTATTTTGGGTATTTACTTTTGTTGACATTTGTTGCAGGCTATGTTTTGTTTAAGCTTCAAGCTACCTATGCAGTGTCTTAAGGAGGACGACAGTGAAAATCACATTGGATCAGTTGCCTAGTAGACCATGCAATATTGTGCTCCCGTAGTTTTTACTCATCCACCTGCAATTTTTGGAGCTTTACTAAAGAAATAGCAACTGCGCTGGTGATTCTGGGGTTAGTAGTTGTAGATAGATCTGAATCACCATCTCATGGCAAGGAGAGATTAACAGGTTGTCTCTGATGCTAAATGTGAGTGATCAGGTGTCATATAACCATGGAAGATGCTTTGGTAGCTGAAATCAAGATGCTGGTAGCAATATCTGATTCAAAACGTGGTGCCATTGGTTTACATCCTGTTCGTTTAATCGTATCAGCCATGCTTATCAGCCATGATATAGTGTTTTTCTCTCACAACAAAACAGCATCAGTCGACTTTTAAGCCACAGAAACGATAAAGCGAACAGGGTGTTAATTGGTTTACAGGAAGTTCCCTGTTATGCTTTTTTTTTGTGAAGGATTTGTATTCACGCTGCTTGAGTCCAAATCTTACCAGGATTCAAGTAGTTTTTTTGGCCATGTAAAAGAACTCCCGGAACTTCTAAAATATTACTAGTATCCAAAGTACTGACTTTTCACATGGGTTTGTTCTTGATTCGAAGAAACTTTGGTCAGAACTCAGGACTATTTGTTGTACTGTCACTTGTTCTCTCTTTACCCCAAGTGAAAGTGTCAGCTATTTGAGGCAAATGTTATGTTGAAAACATCAAAGTGTCTCTCGGACTGGTACTAGCATAGCAACAAAGTGGCTTAGTAGAATTATCACGTTCACAATTGAGAGATACTACAGTCAAAGATGCACGACACATGACGCTAGCTTGTACACAGTAAAATTCTTCTGGTACACAGCAGGAGAAGAAACAAAACTCCTGCGCTTTCTGCCCTTATTTAACCGAGATCAGGGACGATGAGGTAGTCCTCGTCGTCGGTGACCTCGATCCGGGCCTTCTTGCTCTGGCGCACCCCGGCGCCGGCAGCGGCTTTGGCCGTCCTGTAGTACGTGGCATCGTTCGCCGCCTGGGATCCGAAAAGCTCCGGGACCTCCGCCAACGTCCTGCCGGCCTTGGGCGCCTGCTCGTGGAAGAGGTCGATGTCGGCGAACCACTCCAGCTCCTTGAACCCGAGCGGGGACTCCTTGTGCAGCTGCAAAACACACACACACACACACACACACAAGACCATGAGACGGGACCCGGTGGGTGGTCGGACATGGACCGGCGGAGCTTGTGCTATCGTCTTGCCTTGTCGCTGGACTCGTAGTCGGAGAACTGCAGGAGCTCGTCGACGGCCCAGCCCTGCGGCAGGAACTGCGGCGGCGAGGGCACCTGCTGCGCCGCGGCGGAGACGGCGGCCTGCGGCGGCTCGACGGTGGCCTTGGGCGGGGCGTGGTGGTCGGAGTCGTGGGCGTCGCACGCGTCGCTGCAGGCGGAGGCGGAGGCGAAGCCGACGCGGATGCCGGTGGCCAGGTAGCGCTGGTGGTTCCCGGAGAGCGTGCCCGGGACGTGGATGGGCTCGTCGCAGTCCCGGCAGAAGAGCGCCCGGTCCTCCACGCAGAAGATGAACGCCGCTTTCTCCTGCGACCGACCGCGAGCAAGGTTAACTCGTGCCGTCGTGCGTGTAGAGCATCTGCGCATGCCGCTTGTGCATGCGCTGGTTAGTGCGTGCGTGGCGACGTGCGTACGTACCTGGCAGACGTCGCAGCGGGGGAGCCTGGCAGAGAGCGCCTCGAGCGGGAGGCGCTGGTGCTTGCTGGCGAGCTTGTTGGCGGCGTGGATCTCGACGTCGCAGCGCGCGCACAGCGCGGCCTCGTCGGCGCAGCACACCACCGTGGCAGCCGCGCCCTCGCACGCGTCGCACTGGATCTTCATGGCCGCCGCTCCACCTCTCAGTCTACTTCCTATCCTGTCTCGCAAACACTCAGTGAAGGAGCGAGGCAAAGGACGAAGAAGATAAGGCGGCCACTGACTGTGCTGGAGGACGAAGGAGAGGCCGGCAAAGGAGAGGGGAGATCCAGCGGGCGGGCGAGTGGCGCATATAAGCCGCTTGGGCGAGCACGCAACTCGAGCAATCAGTGAGCTCCCGGGCGGGCGAGCTTGTGGTGGAGGACTCGCCGGGGAGACTTGTGGCCAGGGGGCTCCCGGCTCGTCTGCCCCCGTGCACTGTAGCTACGCCGGGAGCACGCTCGGACGCGCTGATTTTGATCTGATGTGATCCGCTGACTCGGCGGAACGGGATCACAACTGTACTATTGGCTTTATATTATGAATAGAAAAAAAAATCGCAAGGAACTCGTGGTCGTAGGAGCTTCATCTCAGTTCTCTCGCATGTGCTAGATGGGCATTCATGAAAAAATGCTGCGGTAGCTTTAGTTGTCGGTGGACGAAAATACCTCTGCCACGATAATTCTGTTCCCATGAATATCCATATCTGGCTGACCTGAATTTGGTGAATGTATCCAAATCAATCAGGGTGTTTACGACTGCTCTGCTCCATGTTTTTTAACCAAACGGTTTTAACTCCGAGCACTCTCGGCACTTTGTTCGATGAAAAAAGGTGTTGTGAGAGTACGTAAAGAGATACTTCACAAACTCTAATTTTCTGTGGAGTTGCTCTACGGTAAAGTTTGTAGAGTAGTCCTATATATATATATACTTTTATATGTTGTTGTATGGATTTTTTTTTTAATGGTTAGCGTGCAAGATGTGCATCTGCTAAATCGCTTTTTAAATTTGATGTAACAGACTCTTTCCTGTTTAAGAAAAAAAATACATTGCGTGCTATACTGTCATCATGCAGCATGATCCATTATTAATGCTATTTCTTCCTTTTGGTTTATATTATATGCGTGATCGTGCATTTCTTAATCTTCTCGCCGTACGTATCACTGAAATATTTCTCTCGATGCTGTTTGTTAACAATATTATATGCGTGGTCGTGCTGTGCATTTCTTGTCTTCTCGCCGTACGTATCACTCAACTATTTCTCTTGATGCTGTTTGTGAATTTACATTTGTTTGCTTAACAGATAATTATTATTAACAAGTTAGACAACAAAAGTACAAAACACTCCTGTCAACATGAAAAAAAGGGTCCGTGGCCCAGTCGTTTTGCTCGGCAAAGGCCATGAGCACATCACCATTCTTCAATGCCAAGTTGCTCTCAGCTTGTGGACGAGATTTTTTTGCGAGGATCTGCTGGAGATGTTAATTCGGATAGTGAAGGCCGGAAATGTGCCATACCATCACTGTGCATATTTTATTGCCACATCAGTGACTAGGGGTGTTTGGTTTCTCCTCCTAAACTTTAGTCGCTGTCTCATCGGATGTTTGACACATGCATGGAGTATTAAATATAGACTAATTACAAAACTAATTGCACAGCTTGCGACTAATTTGCGAGACGAATCTTTTAAGTTTAATTATGTCATGATTTGACAATATATTGCTACAGTAAACATGTGGTAATGACGGATTCTGTAATTTGGCTTAATAAATTCGTCTCGTGGAGTACTGACGAATTTTGTAATTTGTTTTTTATTAATATCCGAACATCCCATACAACACCTTCACGTGATACCTCCTAAATTTTTGTCACCGGATCCAAACACCCCCTAGCTCACTTAGGTTATTTCTAGTGCATTATATCATCAAACGATACTGTATCTCTCTCTCGTTGTTAGTTTAATGCCAAATCGACCACAAAACTGTCTGTTATGATACCACCTATTAGAACTAGCCTATTTATAGAGTATAGGAAATATGGTACGGACCAACACAGCCAATTGGAGAAGTATTCCTATTCCATAGAGGGCATATTGTTACTGCACTATGCTCCCAAAATTGAAGCTTTGGATTCCCCTAAACCGAGTCTGTGTATTGAATGTTGATACATAGATATGTTAGAGCTAGGAGTAAGGATAGTTATGTTGGAATCAAATGAATACATTATGAAGATATAAATCATGATGTATCTAATGATACAAATTTGTTGTCATAAATATTGGTGTTTTTTCTATAAATTTTATTAAATTTAAATAGTTTGACTAGAACAACTCTAGAGGTTAATTTATTTTGAGACAGAGGTAGTATATTTAGAAGAAAGAAAAGTTATATTTGTCTTGAAATGATAAACATATTTTGATTAGAAAAAGTCATACAAAATGGATTTTAACCCTAAATGTCTCTTACAGTATGTGTAATTCGCTAAACAATCAATATCATCTCCGATATACTTTGAATACAAATCTACTATGAAAGTTTTATGTTCTAAACTTATATATAAGTTAAACAATTGTTTATCAAAGTTTTTAAAAGTTTGTTTTTATGTACCAAATGTTCTAGTTGCAAATAAAGTTTGCTCAATGAAAAAGGAAAATATGACATCACGAAGGCCTTGTTTCGCCGGGCTCCCTCTGGCTCCAGCTCTGTGCTATAGTATCGAAGGAGCCACAAAATGTGGCTTCTTCGAGCTCCTAGTTTATTTCGTGGGGAAAGAAAAATTTCTTCCATGAATATTGCTTCTATAGTTGCGTGCGGAAGAGAAGCCGGAGTGGCGAAGCCACAAGAAGCTATGTCAAACAAGCTCCAAGAGAAAAGTATGATGTGCTACACCATGACTACTGGTCATGTATGCAACATGTTCTCTTTGTCCTAAAAAAAGCGTAGTTCTAGAATTGTTTAGACAAATTAGTGTTATAGGGAAATAATAGATGTGACCCTTTAAAAAACTCTTACTCCCCCTATCTCAAAAAGCATGTAAATCTCGCTTACCGAGGAATCAAACAATTCTAAAATTGACTAGGTTTATATAAAATAATATCAAAAAAATATTTTTTTTCAAATATGCTTATCTTAAAATATATTTCATAATTAATCTAGTGGTAATTTTAATACATCATAAATATTAATAGTTTTCTATATATTTGGATAAATTTGGGATTCTTTGACTTCTCAAAAAAGCGAGACTTTTACTTTTTTTCAGGATGAAGAAAGTATAACATATTATAATGTAATGCTTGCACTTCGGAGACACTCACAAGTCTACTAGTTCTAGTGAGGCTAGCAGCTCGAAGTACTCTTATTCCGTGATAAATTTGAAACTCTAGAAGTAGAAGCACTTAAGGAAGGAGTTTCCGTGTGTGTGTGTGTATATATATATAAACATTGAACAAGTCCTATCATGGATCAATCATGACATTATACAGGAAAGAAGGAAAGAAAACCCCCGGAGCCACCACCAATTCAGCAGCGAGCCAGAGACCAGCAATTGAGGTTGACGCAGCCGCTGGGATTGCACACGCCTGCACCGCACCTACACCTACACCTACACGCAGTAGTGCAGCACCACGGTCCGGCATTAAACGCCGACGTGCCGACGGCCGAACCGCGGCGCGCCACGGCGCCATTCGCTTCTTCACTGAACCCGCAGCCGCTGCCTGCAGGTTCCGGTCTGGATCTCAGCGGGATCTGCCGCTGGCGCCGCGATCATTGGCTGGCTTTCCGTGTGAACTGGCAGTTGGGGGACTTGTGGCGTAGGGCGCCGGGCGGGTCCCTTTCTCCGTGCAACTAGTACAGCGCATTGATGGGCAGAGGTTGACACGGAGATGGGCGCAGCAAGGGCCCGTCTGCTGCCTGCAAGAAATGCTTATCCGGCTGCTATATGTTGGGGCTGTGACCAGGCGTCTTGGTTGGATAGGAGCCATGAAAAAGCGTACGCCTAAATGTTGGATGAGCTGACGTGGAGGATAGAACGTGGCTGTTTCTAAGAGAAGCAGGAGTATTTTCTTGATGACCTTTCTTTCTGTTATATTATACCAGAATGGCCAGAAAGTCTACATGCAACTATATGCAGGAATAAAGCCAGGAACAGATGGCTAGTCTGTCACGCCGTGTTTAGTTTGGGGAAGTTTAGAATTTGGATTATCGTAGCACTTTCGTTTTTATTTGGCAATTAATGTTCAATCATGGACTAATTAGGCTCAAAACGTTCGTCTCGCAATTTCCAACCAAACTGTGCAATTAATTTTTTTTCCGTCTACATTTAATAGTCCATGCATGTATCGCAAGATTCGATGTGATGGCTACTGTAGCACTTTTTGAGAATTGGGGTGGAAACTAAACACGTGCTCAATATATGGGATACGGGTAAAAGTGCAGAAGAAAGTTGGCCCGCCCTGGGACCTGGGTGGAGTGGACAGTGGACTATGTGGTACAAGACCTTTGGAATAGAGTCTAGAGATATTTATCTGTATGGCCCTAAAAAAAAATACATCTTACTCCAATGGCTCTTTTTTATTTGAACTTACTTGTATGGCCTCAAAATAAAATTATTTTCCTTCTATGGCCTTTCCGTCAAGTTTGTTAAGGAGATATGTTAGTTTCCCATTGTAGATACATGAAATGTCTAAATTGCCCTTCTCTATGTATCGCATCTGACCGAGCCGGGGGGAAAGGACCGAGCGCTACGAGATTTGACTGACCCGGGGAAAAAAGCACGCGTAGGGGAGGCGTCGCCGCCCGCCTGGTCGAGCGCGCGCGACTGGGGCTGGTCCGGCGCGGCCAGACCGGCACGGCACCAGGCGGCTCCTCCCGCGTCCATCCCGGCGCAGCCAGCATGGCCAGCGGCGCGGAGGGGCAGCCGGGCGCAGCCGGCACCTCCAGCGTCCGCGACCAGCCGTCATCAGTCCGCCGTGTCCTCAACCGTCATATGCGCCAAGGCCTTCTCCAGCCTGCTTGCTGAGTGGAGCACGTGGACGACCTCGTCGGTGAGGATGATCACCTTGGCGAGGTACTGCCTCAACACGACGCCGAAGCAGCCGTGCAGGGTGACCGCGGCCACCGCCACCGGCGCGGGGTGCCACCACCTCAGCA